ATGAACTGGAGGTTTCATGGAAAGTAACCCCAGAAATTAAAGAATGTTATTCAAAATCACACAGCCCCAAGTGAGGCCAGATTGACAGAGGAATATTCAATTTGGAAAAAAAATTCTCTGCATAGTTCAGGTGCTTGTGTGTTCTTAACAGATAACAAATGGACAAAGGGATAAATGTTTTGGGAAAGGAAAAAAAAGGCATCAAGGGCCCACAATTTTGGAAATCTTACTACATAACGTGTTATGGGCAGTAATTTACTATATTTTAGAAAAGGATTTATCCCCTTTCTCTGTATCTGGGCCCCACAATCATTGGCAGATCGGGTGGCATGGGAGGGTATGTGTGCCATGCCTCCCCACCCCTGAAAAAGGCTTACAGAAAACTTTTGATACCTTTTTTTGTTTGTCAAAATTTATTTAAATATTTATTTGTTGGAATTACCAATTATTTAAAAATAATATGGTATAGAATCATATAAACCCTTCTAAAATACAATACAATAACAAATATGTTTTTCATTTATCGAAGATCCATGATCGGCTGAATCTGCCCGTGCTCTCAAAATGAGTTTTTCTTTTGAAAAATGGTTGTTTTTTGCTGCAACATTACATGACTTTCTCTATACTACGTATATTAGTCTGTATATACATATATGAGAAATTAAAAATGTAGTCTATCTGAAATGAACTAACATATGAAATTATTGTCGTATGTTGCTTATTATAAGTGTTTACTTATAGTATTCACACCCTCGACATTGGGTTGGATGGTTAGAACGAGTTATTTGTCTCATTTTACAGGCCAGTTTTGCAGTGTTAATCAAAAGATGATACCTTTTTCTAAGGACAGCTAAAGTTTGAATCAATTTCACAGTCTAGTTTTTTGTGTAATAAGGCCACGGAGTAAGAAATATTACACTGTGAATAAGTACATCCTTCCTAAATTCTCTTTCATAATGAATAAAACCATAAACTTGGTCTTTTAAACATGGGTCATGGCTTCCTAGAGTGAAGGTAGCCATGCATTGGCTCTACAAAAGCCTATGTAAGTCTGAAGGGAGCCTTTCACATGTTTTCGAGAGGGTGGGGTTGGTAAGCTCAACTCATCAACACAGCGCACGTAGCTTCACTCAAATCGAGTGACAAATAAGGCAATATACAAGTATTTATTTTTTAATTCCTGGGAAACATGAATTATTAACCAAGTTTCCCAGAAACGCTGAAATTTGTTGGATAGAAAACATTTCTGAGCCTAGAGTGAAACGCTCAAAACAATATAACCCTTAATCACTTTGATTAAGGAATATATCTCTACAAACAAATGAAAGAACTTGAGAGAGAATCATTTTTTTGGACAGCCATTGATAAAAGTGGGTATTTTTAGGGCGTGTAAAGCTTGTTAAAAGTTCAATTTTTAGCACTAGTGTTAAAAGTTAGATGATGATGTTCAGATAAAACTGAATACAACAAAGAAAACAAAATAATTTTGCCTGGCCACATGAACTACTACTGACCTGCATCATTTGTACACATGACATTAAATAAAATAAAAGTTAGTAAGGTTGTCTAAAAATTAGTGTGTGACACATGTGGTAAAAGTGATATTATTTTGCTTGCAGGATTGCACCATTTGTCCTCATGTTGGTACATTTCCTACTTGAAACATGAAATTCCACTTTTACATGTCATAAATAACTTTTTTAAAAATATTTAATGCAGTATTATTATTATATTTTCTGTCATATACCAGTTTTGTGACTTTCATTCCAGGAATATGATGAATTTATTACAAAAGTATTAATATTCTCTATTCTATTATACAAGTTAACCAGTAAATTGTCATTCTGTTGAACTGTTTTAAAATATAAAACCTACTTAAAATACTTGAGAGTTAAATAAACCATTAATAGTGTATGTAAATGCAATTGAAATTTTAAGAAGAATGAAAGTTTTGTTTTTAAGCACTCCTGGCATTTATATAGTAATTAGATCTTGATATTATGCAACATGACAAATTTCAAAAAAATGAATGGTCAACGTTGTGGCAACTACCTTCAATCCCATCATTGCCCTGGATCTGGGCTCTGATAACCCTAAATCCACATATACCACTGAGAATGTTGTTTTGAGAAAAGTTACTAATCAAAATGACCTGGGGATGTTGTCATACAAAATCTGAAATGGGAAGGACACGTGGATGGGTAAGGCAACGATATCTCATACAAAAATCCTATAAGTTAAGTTTTGCTAAAATGGCAAAAATACATGGTATATATTGACCCATTCTAGAATGGGCCAGCATTATGTGGGTCCTCTCTTTCAAGAACGATGTGGAGCATATAAAGAAATTCAAAGAACTGTCACAGATATTCCCACTGAACTGTTATCTTGCATAACCTGAGATGTGAAAAAGCATGCCTCCCCATACTACAACAAGGAAGAAACAGGAACAATATTGTTGTCATATTTAGGCTCTTGAAAGATGTGTAATACATCCAACCCTTGAATGGGATCTTCATCAGGGCCATTGATAATAGATTATGGGGAGGTCATCTGAAGCTTTAGAAGGAGAATGTGAGAGAACTTGGAGGCACTTCCTTAGCAATATTGTTGTCAACAGATGGAACAATCTCCCACATGATTGTGTTTCAGCCAGGACAGTCGACTTCTTGAAGTACAGAGGCTGAACCATTTAAATCCTAATGAAGAAGATACCATTGTTCAATTGGAAAGGCAGATCACCAATTGTGATAAGGTTGATATTAAATTCGAATGTACTACATGTGTATAATATAATTCACTCGAAGATTGTATCCTGATATGTGTAAACAGCTTCGGCTGCTGCCTTAAATAAATAAATAAATAAACATGATTTCCTCTTTTACTTCAATTTCTTATTTTGATTTGCTCTCTTAGAATGTATATACATAGTATTAAATACATTTTTTAAAACACAAAATATGAAGGAGAGGAACATTTTTAATAATGTGCAATTTTATATCTAAATTACGGGGTGGAACACCCGAATAACCTCAAAAATTTAATGTACACAATAAGAAACAAAATTAACATTGCACAAATTTATATATGGACCAAACTCTTAAAAATAGTTTTATTAGTTAACAGAGATTACTACAAATGTTCATTAAAAATGATTCTGAACAAAAAAATTAATAGAGCAATATTCTGTCCACAAAATGTTTTCCTCACAGAAGAATAAAATATGAAATGTAGAGTAAACTTTGAACAGATCTATGATATACATCACTCAGAATTATATTTACAATAATCTATCCACAAATAACCATATTAAAATTACTTGCACATTTGATTTCGTGAGTCAATGAAAGAATTTAATTTCATCCCACATATAATTTTATGAGTGTAAGGAATGATTTTAATAAGATCAATGAACAAATGGAAATATAATAACTGAACAGTACAGTATATTAGAGAGCAAGTGTATAAAATAACCGGTGGTCCCTTTTCTAGTTACAAATTGTTTATAACGATTCATTTAATTTGTTAACAAATTCAAAATGCCTAAATTTCAGTATATTTCAAGATATTTCATCAAAGCTTTTGTGATAAATAAAATAACAATATTGGAGGTAATTTTAATATGATTAGTTTTTTTCTAAGTAAAAAAAATAATGAATTTTTATGGTTTTCTTCTTTACATCTATCATATTAAAGAAGAAAATACAAAATTCACTGTCTTTCAAGGTTACAGCTATCATAGAAATCAAATACATCTAGATAACAATGTAGCCTGAGAGTTATTTTATTAAACAATAATACAAAACCCACTTACAAAAATATCACATTCTTCATAAAACTGCACAGTAAATATTTTGAAAATAACAAAAACTACAATATTACAAGGCAGTTGCCAATACAATGAGATCACTAGAACAGTAATGTATGTTTCATTAATTTCCAGCACACTTTATTTCATTTATTGTGATGTACGATGTTCTAGAGTTGGTCTCAATGCTAGACAACCTTCTACCCAAAAATTTGGTCGCTCCAACATGCTTTGCCACAATGTCATTTCTTTCCCTGTTGCATCCATCCAATCAACACACTTTCCGTAATGTTTACCTGAAACAAATTACTTTTTTAACAGGATGGTATTTTACATTTAATAAAAAGGTTCTGAAAAAACCCTGAAACAATGAAACAAACAGAGAATAGAAGCAGCAAATCTGAGAACAGTAGTTCAATTAACCCAACACAACAAAAGAAGAAACAACGTAAAATGGAAAATACTAAAAGCAAATAATTTTGTCACTGAAATAGAGAAATATCAGGAAATATCAAAGTGGCCAGGACATATAAAAAGAATGAAACCACGTAGACTTGTAAAGATGGTAAAAACTACAGACCACGAGGAAATAATAAACTCGGTAGACCAAGGAAACGATGAGAGGACCAGGAACACCTTTTGGAGGGGAATACTGGAAACAAAGATTTAATGATAATGATGTTACTAAAGAAAAAAGGGAGAGATAGTTCAGAATATTTGACAGTAGTGGCATAGTGAACCAACAAGGCATGTTAGTTTGATGAAATATTAGATGCTTTGTCACTGATAACAGTAATGTCTTGTACCTCTCACTGCATCGTCCACAAGGAGTAGACAGCAAAAAGGAAAACTTCAAAGCACTACAACCTGCCTATGATAGAAATTCGCCCCCATGACTGGGTGGTACGCAAATAAATTAGTGATGTACAAGAAAAGAAGTGGTATCTGGAGTATGTATTTTACCAGAATGATTGAAGTCTATTGTTGATTTGAGGAACCAATAATGTTGTAGTGACAAGATTATATTTAGAAAACAATCTTCATAAGAGGTAGTTAAAGAAGAACAAGGACAATGAAGATGGCAAAAAAACCATCTACTAACCGGAAAGGTGCTGAAAGCGATTGATCTGTATGGCTACAAAGAGTTGATGAGAGAGTGAAAATCTACGTAGGATTCAAGTCTTGAAAGAATAAGAAAGATGATTTACATTATGTGATTTTAATGCCTTTTCGACAGTTGACGTTAGTTTGGTTAGTCAACTAGTACATAAGAGCAATTATATAATTTTAGAATAAAATAAATAAAAAAGGAAAAATGAATTCAATGCATACCTGTGCCTAAATTAAATCTTACTCCTCCAAGAAATTCATTGCTGGCTAGGCGATCATGATCCCACACAGTAAGCTCCAAACTTCTTTCTGATAACTCCTGAAGGCTAACATCCTCATAAACAAAAGAATGATTCCAGACAGGACTGCAAGTCCTGCGAATTACTGGTGTCTTCTGTTTTGAACTTCGGCCTTTATCTGGCAATAGGTAGCTGCAATTAAACATTTTGTATATGAAAAAATAAACTATATGGAATGTTGCCTGATATTTTCAAAGTATTGTATACAATATGCAGAAGCAGTAACAATCAAAGAGGGAAAAAAAGAGTATGAGAGAGAAAAAGAGTATAAGAGAAAGGGAGAGAAACAGAAAAGGAGAGCGAGAGAGAGCGGGACAAGGGAGGAACAATATATGAAATACAAAAAAAAAAAGAGGCATTCATACCTTTTACAGAACGGATCAGAAGAACCATTTGCTTTCACAGCAACTAAATTTTTGGCTTCTTTAACTAATACATGTAGAGCCCCTCGGGATCGTTTACCTTTCTTCATTACAGTTACATCAGGTGGTACAAATTTAAGTCCAATGATAACATCTCCTTTATAACTTAGCACATCATCAAATGGTTCAGTCTGCAAAATAAGCTATATTAATGAAAATACTACGCAATTTAGAAATTCATACATTACTATTGTGCATTAAATTAAATACATTTATGTTAATTCACAATTCCATTGCTTAAATAATATTATTACACTTACTCTTTCTTGCAGAGGATACCAATGAGGAGTTGGATCATCAAATACTTTATTTTCGAGAGACATCATAACTTCTCCAAGGAAATCATTTCGGCCAAACATGTCAGAATGCCATACAGTTAACCACAATGTCCTCGTCTCCAGTCCATGGAGAGTCATGTGGAACTGAAAATTAATAGTTCGGAAAGAAAATGGAATATTAATAATAACAATTTTGTACATCTAGAGAGAGAAGTACATGATTTTTTTCTGAAAATTCAGGTTTGAAGATTGAGGGCTACAATAACAACTATTACAGGAAAAATTTGTTGTTGTGAGGGAAAAACTTCTTGGTTGTATTTTTTTAACATTACTGTTAAATTCAATCACACTATATAAATAATTAAAGCTGTATGCCAAGATTTCACTATTGTAGAACGCAAACAATATACAATGTACCAATGTTCCATTCCAAGTCAAACACGATTCCAGTAATTTCATGACTTTGTGAAATTCATCAGTATAATAACACTTTATAACAAAATTATTGTATTCTACAATACCTTCAGTGTTTCATCAAAGACAGGATTCAAAGTATGCTTCTTTACTTTAGTTTTTCGCTTTCCACTTTTTGATTTATCAGGTAGTAAGTACACCTTTACATATCTGAAAATTAAACAAAAGGATTGTTAAATGCTCACATTATTGAAAAACAAGTTCTTAATTCAAGTATAATTGAATTGCAAGTTGAAAGTACATACGGGTCAGAACGATTTCTCTTAACATCAACAGGAGCTAGATCACGACACTGCTTTACATGAATTTCTAAAGCACCAGCTTTGTAATTATATTGCAATGCAAATTCAACTTCTCCCCTCACAGCTACTGTGCCGTATCGTCCTTCACCAGCACCAGAATAAACACTAGCAAGGGAATCACTGCGTGGCTGCAAATGGAAGAGGTTTGAAATAAATTCTATTAATATATCATTACATGAAGACTTAATTTTCACATACCTAACAAATGCGATTTATTAGCTAGATAATAATGAAAATTACTTACTACTACTTATAACTTTACAATTTATTACATATTAAGTATCACAATTACAGTAAATATTAATATTTATTGATGTGACAGAAATAACACACAAAAAAAGGAACAGTGTATTGAAGGAACTGGGTATTAAAAAAAAGAAAAATGAACACTTAGAAAGGAAATTGTAGTGAAAATCATAATACTCACTCCCAAGGATGACAAACTGCTACGTTGGTGATGGATTCCCACATATCTGTCAATGTCGTCTTCAGGAGGCCAGTCAACAGATGAAATAACACTTGCTGGTTTAATGGGAATTGCATCTCCTACCACTGGAGATGGAGTAGAACTGGAGTCAGGACTCTGAAGGACTGTCAAGGGTGAGATTTGTTCTTCAGACACACTAATGTCATCTGAAACAAATTCGAAATATGCAAATAAGACATTTGTGCTTCTATTGCTTGGTTGAAATGAAATGAAAAGAAAAGAAAAGAAAAGGAGAAGAAAAAAAAATGCAAGCAAATCCCAAATAATCTACTATGCATTGATATACCTCCAGAATATATAATTACATGATTTTCTGAGAAAAGTAATGAAGCATTTACATTAATAAACCTTGGGGGATAAGAAACATTTCAATTTCTTACAATGCAATTACTAAGGATAATGAATAATACACCATGTGAAGTTCTACTATTATTAATCTGACTTAAGATTGCAAAACTACTTTGGATTTAGTCAGTTTTAGATGTTATAAAGGTTTTGCTGAGTAGAGGGTAGAAATAACTCAGATCCCCTTGAAAAAAAGCATTTTAATATTTAACTTATAACTAGAGCTCAGATGTTTTTGACCTAAAAATGTTGGTAATATTCAAGCATTTATGACCTAAAAAATATGAAAATATGACTATAAATATGACTTCAAAAATTATTGTTTGCAATTGCGAAACCTTACACTCTTGTTCTTGTTTAAATAAGCATTACATTGAAAATATAATTTTAAAATCTAGCACATGGACAATTCAGCCCTTCTCCTTTTGAAGATGATTCTACCTGCTTAAATTATTATTATTTATGGAAGTGATTGACCTTGGCACAAAACCTGACAAAACTACACGAACACTTCCCTCGCGTCTGGGGCTTTCTATGATTCCTTTATCTTGTTCTTTATAGCTTATCCACCCAATTCACAATATACAAATTAGATAACAATCACAAGAAGAGAAAAATATCTGAGATGACTGTAAGCAAGTGTGCGAAATTGGAATTAAAAAAATGAATATCTGACAAAAATAATGAAAATTCATGGAAAAATATGACAATTAATATGAAATATTAAAGGAACATGACAAAGGAGTTAAAAAAAGCCGAATTACGACTGTATAAGACAACCAAAAATTCCATAATTTTAGTCACTGTGGATAAAATCATTCTTAACTTATATTTTCAATCGAAATGACAAAAAAAATGGCACATAATAAACATTCAGGTTCTACTTGTCACCAATGAGATGGAATAAGTCTCTTTGTAAACATTAAAACTACTGTTCCAGATTTTAACAGACTTGGAGTAAAGTTGGCCATATAAAATACAGTAAATCCCCGCTTTTACGTTCCCGCAATGCACATTTCCCCAGCCTTTACATTTCTTGTCGGTCCCATCAGTTTTCATATATTAATAACGTAATAAATACCCCGCATTTACGATAGTATAATTTCAATTTTCCTGCAATTTACAACAGTCTGCATGCCACAACACCATCTGGAAAGCACTTCGTGTTGCGCAAAAATAGCACAGAACAGAAAGACTATTGAACTGATGCGATATTATAAAGAGTTATGAACTGTTACATGAAGACTAGAATATTTAAAATATAGTGAAAAACATTATTTAGCAGCTAGGCCTACATACATTTTCATTTCGTAATATTACAGAGGTGGATAATATGCATTCAGTTGACGCGCGTCACCTAACGCTGAGGACGCCAGCTGCGTTGATGTCTGCTGGCACACAAGTCACTTAACGCGCGTGGTAGGTTAGCACTGTATCTTATACAAGCGAGCTTTACACGAGCGCTCTTGGTGACGTGCGTCGTTGCAAATGCTCTTCGCGCGTTGAAAGCTAGAAAACGCACTTTATCTTGACTTATGTTGTAGCTTGAGAGTCTTGCTTTAGCTGTGAGCGCAACGCACGTCTCTAAGAGCGCTTGTGTGCCCTTTTGCATAAGATAGTGTTCATCTACGACGCGTGTTATGTGACGTGTGCATAGTCATCAGCGTTAGGTGACGCGCGTAAACGCAATGCTCATGTGACACAGGCCTGAGAGAGGTATCCTCACGATCATTTGTTTATTTTACATCATCCTCCTCCACAATTTCACTCTTTCATTCTCAAATAAACGTACTTTTTTCCCTTCCCAAAAGCTCAACCCCCCCGGCCAACCACGGCCCACGGCACATTACAGTCGGGCTTGGCCTACATTATGTACGTAACATACCATTCTACTTCCAGGTTCAGTAACCATTTTACTCTTGTAATAATTTTATAATGATGTTATACAAAAAATAGCGCATGCAATTCGTTTATGTTACCTTTTTGCACTCATAAGAATAATTGCATTCACTCCTTCGTCGTTCATAAGGCTATTCTTATTTGTGCAAAAAATAACATTATAAACTCATGGCATAATACACTATTCTGTCGAAAAATTGCCGTTTTTGCGTTGCACGATTACAATACTTTTTTTCTTACGAAGTAAGACCAGAAAGTAAAAAGTGTCGTTTCATCGAATTAATTTACAAAGAACAATTGACTGCACTGCGTCCATGAGTGGCAGACAAATTATGACGCTCAAATTACATCATATCAGATTTCTCTAGCTTCCTCTGTATGGTAGCTGAATAAAATTGGTTAGAATTCTTGCTTAAGTTTATTCACATTAGCAACAATACCAATAACCATCAGCCTTGTCCCATATCTATTAGATATAATAGAACACAAACAATGTTGGAAACTAAACTTAAACAAGTGGTTCTACAGAAATGGCATATACTTTCTCGTACTAATTAGTTTTCTAATTTCTTCGGTCTGGGCTAGCTTTTCTTTTTTGCCTTACCCACTTCCCAGCTGCCATCTATTGCCGCCCAAACTAAACTTTTCACATTTTCTCAATTTTTCGTTTCTCTAATTTAAAATTTAAAAATGACTAAGGATTTTAAGAAGAGTAAAACTTTTGTCACTCATGGCAATTTTCACTCACAATTCAACTCACAATTTTTGATGAAAAATTTGGAGCAATTTTAGAGATAATGTTGTCTGAGTGTTTCAGAAAATGCGCATTTTGAAGATATTATTCACTCAAAACTTTCGCGTTTTCGAGAAACTTCATAAGAAATTGTTTGAAGCAACTGCACTCAGAAATGCGATAATATAAATCGCAGATGATGTAAAACCGTTATGTATGATATATTAAAAATACATTTGTGCAATTTTTGAAAGACGAAAGAATACATTGAAGTGGCTTTAATGGAATGAATTTAATATATAATTAATTTAACTTTATTCAGCCATTTACCACTATCCGTTCAAACAATTTAAAGAAAAAAATGGAGCAGTTTTTCGACAAAATGTAGTTTACATGAAAAATCAGTTTATCTTTACAAAAATCGAATATATTTTACGTAGATTTACATGGATAAAAACATATTGTACTTGCAAAATTGTTCGATAGAATTCCATTTCAAATAGTATTCTAACAAAAATATCGATATCGATTTTACAAAACCTCCTGACGTGTTGGGAAGAAATGAAGGCACGCCAAATAATACAAAAATCAGTGAAAACTTCTCATGTATTTTTCAAAACTTCAATTTCGCAGGCCTGTATTATTATTGGAAGGCTCGTGGCAGAAGTTAGGTGGGGACCCCACTACTACATTATTAAACAAATTAATATTGCAACCAAACATTAAATTCCTTAATGACAATGTTTCTTAATGGAACTTTATATTTTCGCATTTTATACTTTGTTATCTGTGAATAATTAACTTCTGTAAGCAATTATATTATTACAATTTCTAACTTTTCTGCTGTTAAAGTGCTATTGAATGAAAATTGAAATATTATGATATAAACGTGATAAAATGTTTCAGGTTTAATATGGTTTTAAATGCTAATGTTTAACTTTTTATTTTAGATCAAAACATTTTACTTTTGAACGAATTTGACAAAAATGTTTAGTTTCATTTTCCATCAGGTGGTCGCCGCTAAGATACATCGTATTCAACCTATTTAAATCCGACTCTCATTAGGGAAAGGGTTCATTGTTGCACTTAACCTGAGCCGCATTGCGCCAAAACCGATTACGTGTACCAAACCTCCCCAGGACAACGGAGGGGGCAGGTCGCTGACGTGGGAACGCGCGATTTGCAAAGGCGGACGAGCAAAACCAAAGAGCATCATCCAGATACGGTTAAAAGAGACGCATAATCATGAACAGGTAAATCACAAACAGGTAAATCAGTCGCGAGCCCAGCGCACGAGTCGAATCTGTTCCGACTACATTGACGCAACGCGTCTCCAAACCCTTAGAAGTGCATCGAGTGCTTGATTTTACTAAGGAGTAATTCCTCCGATAACGTATTTGTCTACTGTCCAGTCTCGTCGCAGTCGCTTGTCAAGAGGACCGCCAGGTAGGATCACCGCGTACGCGACTCTTACCACGCGCTCCTTGCGTCGTTACCCAGCTGCCGGAATTGGGAAGGACTTAGGGGTTTGGTTTAGGACGCTTCGCAGGGGGCTGGACTAGCACCAGTAAAGCAAGAAAAGCCGTTTTTGTCGAAACAAATCTCACACGAGCTTGTCCGGGAATCAGTCCCGGACCTCCTTGGTGAGAGGCGAGCGGCTTCGCTCTGTGCCACGAGCTACCTGCATTAAGAAGACCCACCCGATCCGCGACACCGAAGGATTCTGTCGTCGACCTGCCGCGCGTTGCCCTTGAGCCGGTCGGTCACTGTTTCCGTTTCCGCGGCAACGTCGGCGCCGAACCCAGACGCGCTCTCGCCAACTTCGCGTTTCCTCGCGCCGTGAGGGGGGGAGGGGCGTGCCATGGGGGGGTAGGAGCAACATCCCGGACGCGATGACCGCACGCGCAGCGGGCCGATGATGGCGTACTGCTCCGTCAACGCCGCCGACGAGGACGACGGCGACGAGGATGAAGAGGACGACGAGAGCTCGGAGGAGGGCGCGGTCGTGGAGGCCGAGACGCAGGAGATCATCAGGGCCCTTCGCCACGTGGTGGCGCGCGACCCGCTCGCGGCCGAACTGCACCTCTCGCTCTTCGCCAGCGCCGTGTTCAGCCGCAGGTACCAACAGCCACGCGAGGCCTGCGCCTTGTACCCATTGGTGGACGTCGGAGGGTCAACGATGGTGTAATGGTTAGCGTATCGGTCTGTTTTACCCAAGTTGGCGGGTTCAAACCCGATCGACGCAGTGGATTTTTAAGGGCAAATAAAATACTTCTTACTCCTTTCTTCGGAGGGAAAGTAAAGCCGGCTGTCCCATGTTAGTAGATCTTTTACTTGCATGTAAAAGATACTCAAGCCAAAATGTCGCCACTGAGGAAAATTCAAATCGCCTGTTCGTCGCCAAAATACCTCCTTTCTCCGCTAGTTGGTGAAAGGAGCGTAGCGAAATTTGTGTGGTCAGACGGAAGAGAGGCCCTGAAGGCCCGAGTCTCGCCACGTAAAATAACGCATTAATTCAATTCAATCCGATTAACGCGAGTGAAAGAATTGTTTAGAAATCCGTGTATCTTTATTTAGGCGTTCTTCAGTCCTTTATGTCAGTTGATATTTCTCTGGATTTGCGATCTGGATTGCAAGGATCCTGCAATCCCAGTGGCACCTACCAGGATGTCAGTAGCAAAGACTTTCGGCAGCTGGTATGCGAGACACGAATGACCGCCTAAGTTTATGACATAAAAGGTATCGTGTGCATTTGGAGGATGTATTAGCTGCACTGTTGAACGCGCAATGTTTATACTCTTCTCCTGGTAACGCAGAAGAAAGCATGAAGAGCTTTAAACGTCCTGTAGCTCTTGTCTGTTTAGGAACTGGAGTACTGAACTCCTAGAAACTTTAACTACTCTTTGAAATTTAATTTTTTTAAAAGAAATTTTAGTAACCCAGCACGACAGACATTGTTTCGAAGTCTTGCAACTTGTAACGGCATCCTCGGATCATTTTCCATGAGCAATGGAAGATGATCCATACGAGCAAGGGACAGTGCAATGCTAGGCCCAAAGGACGGGCCTGGAGGTAGGATGAGGAATGTAAATTTAAGTGCTATCAGAAGCCCATTGTATACGCTCCAGCGGTCTGTTGGCGGTTCCTTTGCTAATAGCTCCTTTGAGAGGACAAGAGTAAGGTCAGTGGCGGTAAGACCCGGCGCGACAGCACGATATTCCCACCTAGCCTCTTTTCTCTTAAGCCTGTTTTACACGATCATTTTTTGCCGGTACAGAAAATATACAGGCCAGACTGGATGTAATTTGTACGAAAAATGACGCATGCTTAATTTTTCGGTACAGATTTCATCCAGTTTGACTACCGCGCTCGCTGGCGGCCACTTTACGGGAGTTTTCTCTAGTTTGTTATGCGTGTGGAGCGATATGATCATTTTGTAGTTGCCTGAGAAGCGTTCTGATGTGTTTGAATTGTAATGTGAAGTGGGTTATGTAAGAGAAATAAAATTATGCACTGGTAATTCTTATTATTGTCGCATCCGGAGCTCAGTGCACACCTAACCTAAACTTATTTGTTTACCACAGATGCGATGTTTCAAATGTTTAAGGAGGAAGTATTTTCTTCAATGATTACGTACAAAGACAAAAAAGCACAGTGGTAAAACTTCCATTGCCCAGTTTCGGCACCGAAACATACTGCGTAGAAACGAACGTCCTTTTCCCATTCATTTACTGTACAGAAAAATGATGAAAAAAGGATGCAAAAATGACTGTGTAAAACAGGCTTTGCATTACTTCCTTGTCGACATCTGAATAATGATTAATGTTACAAATAGTGAATCAGAAGCCCAGATGAAATTAACATAAAGGACTTAAACGTCGGTTTGAAACACGTTGAGTTGAAATTCTAACCTGGACTAAACTCAAGAGCCACCCAACCACAAAGCAGGTGGAAAGAGAAATGAAGCCTGGTGGCAATTC